GGGGGGGGCAGGCAAGGGCAAGCAGGGGCGGAGCGCGGCGCGAGGGCCGTGCCGTGCCGCTTCTGGTGGGGTCTGCGCAGGGGCAGGGCGGGCAAGGCAGGGCAGGGCAGGGCACGCTGCTGCAGGCTTTCTGGGGTCCGGGGTCGCTTCGCTGTCGCTCTCCACTCCGCGGCGGTGCGGGGCAGAGTGCGGGACGGGAGTGGAAGAGCGGATTCGGAGAGCATAGCGACGACGTTGACCGCCGTGCCGTCGCGTCTCGACGCAGCGTGACCGCGCGTGTGCAAGGGGATGAAAATGTGCTGGGAAGGTGGAGGCGGCGGCGGGGGAGGCCCCGGCGGCCTCCTGCTCGCCGTCCTCGTGCTGGTCGCCCTGGCGGCCGAGGTCCACGCCGAGGTCCTCACGCCGCCCTACTTCAACCTGGCCGAGAGACGGCGCGTCACGGCCACCGCCACTTGCGGCGAGGGCACGCAGGGCCCCGAGCTGTACTGCAAGCTCGTGGGGGCCAACGCCGACAAGGATGCCAACATGGAAATCATCCAGGGCCAGGTAAGCTCACAAGGCTGTCCGTCGGGCCGGCCTGCTCCGGGGATGGGGCCACGGGGGCGTGGACCACGGCGTCGTGCGAGGCGATAGGTCCGCGGGAGGCCCGCGGGTGGGTCGCTGTAGCCCGCGGGGGCCGCTCGGCAGCGGGGCGCGTGGGCCGTGCGACCGAGTCGAGGCCGCGGCGAGAGCGCGCGACCCGCGACCCGCGAGCGGACCGGAAGGGAAGGGCACCGGAAGTTGGGAGGCGGCGGCTCGGGCGGGGGCGTTGCTCTGCGTGTGCGGGCCGGACCGGGAGCCCCCGAGGGTGCTCGAGATCAGGGTGGTGTTGCGGGAGGTCGCGGTGCCCGGGGGGCGTAGCGTAGGGGTGGGGGTGAGCGGCGGTGACGGGAGGGTGTGTATGGTCGGTGAGGAGGGGGTGGAAAAGATGGAGGGGGTGACGGGAATCGAGGTGCTCACAATCAGTAGAGAAGTGAAGGGCAGGGGGTGGTAAATAAACATCAGAAAAAAGGGGGGCAGAGGGGAGGGGGGCGATTGTAAATGAGTGAGATGCCGGAGACATAAACGCCCGGGAAAATCACAAATTCTACGCTTATTCGGGAAAGCCACTGCTCCGCTCTCATTGACGACTGGTGTCGCGCGAATTTTGCTCCCATTCATCCGAATGATGAGAGCCCACATCTCCCATCCATGGGCTCTGCCTATGGCATGGCTCTGTCTCTGCCTGGGCCCCCGAACCCTCATCGGGTGGAAACTAAAAATGGGCGGCCGGGGCGTTCCGGCTGTGCGGCGCGCACATGTGTTTCTGAGGCGGGGGCCGTCCACAACTGAGGACACCCGACTCCCCCGCGTCCCTCAGGGGTGGGGGAGGGGGGGGGCGGACAGCCACGCCGCGCCATTCTCTGGAGAGGCAAGGGGTAGGGGTGGGA